GTACACGCAAAACTTTAAATGCGTTTTTCTCGCGAATGCTTGAGAAGCGCGTCGTAATATTTTACGACGAATTAGTGGGAGGGTAGACCTACAATGTATATAAATTTCAGCCGAATCGGAGGGGACAATGTCTGGTGCTCCCCTTGTTAGCTTGCAAAGGAGTAATCTGACTTTCGACGCATCATCCAAGTTCTGCGCATCTTTGGAAAACAAACCCCTGTAGCGGTCGAACCAGGCGTCAAAAGTTGATCCGCTCTCCGGATCATAATGAAATTCAGAAATGGAGTTTGCCAAGGAGTCCTTCGCCTGAATATTCTGAGAAGCCGAGGAAGTCAAGAAAAGCGTAGACAGCTGTTTCACAAGATCTTGCTGCTGCGTGTAGTAAATTTCCTGCTGCTTCCGATGCTGTTCCAACAAAGCTTCGCGCAAGGCCTCCATACATGAAATTCAACAATCCTCGTCGCCAAATGTTGTTTCTTGACACGCACAAAGAAACTAACTAACTTGTATGAATTGATTTAATAAATTGCATTTATTGTTAAACACAGAAAGAGTTACTTGACTACATGAGTTTACATGGAAGAATGAATAAATGAATGAAAGAATAAAAATCGTCTCAATCAAAAGAATGTTTGTTTGTATGAAAATATCACCGATAGCCGTTACTATGTAAACTGTTGTGGTTTATATCGATTCATAATGTGTCGTATATTGATACATTATATCGATATGCAACAATTATCGTAACGTGTGAGCGGTCACTTCCTCCCCGTGAAAACTTAACTTTGTCACCGACGGCCGTAGGGACGCGAAAGACAACACCGGAGGAGCGACCAACCAGAGAAGAGAAGGCGAACGCCGGTTCCGGAACCTAAAAATTCGGACATTTCCGCAAGTGACACAAATCCGTGAACGGACCTTAATGGACCCGTGTAGAGACTTTAAAACGCAGTTGGCGTAGCGCGAAAAGCGCCAAAGTCAAGCGTAGCACTAAGTTTAGTTTTAGTTACTTTTCTGTAAAAAAGAACGCACCCTTAAGGTGGCGGCTTTAAGTTTTAGTGATTTTTAGTTATAAGAGCGCAAACGCGTTAAAAATCATTTGTTTTTGTTTCACAGGTTGATATTAAACTACGCTGACGTAAAATAACCCGTATTAGAAACCGACAATGTAAAGTTCGGGAAAATGTAGAAATTTTTAGTTTTCGTTTTTTATGCACCGTTCGACGTGCATTTGGATATAGCCCTCGGTGGCTATAACGATTTTTAATTTTGTGCAGTTTTGGGACATGCGATCCTAAGTGGGTAGTTAGACAAAGCCCTAGTGTAGGAAGGTGCGCATACACGTACACACACACAAATACGCATCCACACACACTCAGTATGTTAAAAATTAAAATTCGCAAAAGACAACAGACGACCAATAGAATTTAAGAACACATAGGGACATGACATTAATACACGCAACAAAGCACAGAAACAAACAATGTAACGAACAGACACACGAAAACACAGAACGCACAAACTGGACAACACACGGACAGTAAAAACAACAACAATGGATAGTTTTGCAACACACATAAAAACGGTACATACCTACCTGGGGAAAAGAGTGCAAGTGCACGCGCGACCTGTGTGAGGCGGGCTGAAGATTCGCGTGCGAACCGGCACTTATGGCAAATTCGATTGGCGTGCACTTGCTCCGTTTCAGTGGCTAGTAACTTTTTGTTACTAAACGTACTCGGAGCGTGCATACTGAACTGAGTGCGGGTACTACACTGATCCAATTAGGGCGCACCTCGGAGTGTGCATACTGAACTGAGTGCGTGTACTACATTGATCTAACACAGTGCCACCTGAATGCAATAGTAATTTGCACTGACTTAACTCAGTGCAACTTTATATAAAAGGTTATATAAAAAGAAAAGAAATATCAAAGTTAAAGTCTTTATATTAAGTCTTTATTTAAACAGAAATTAAAAACTATTACGCACATCTTCAAATTCACGA